GAAACGCTAAAGCGAGAGCCTTTCAACAACAAAAAGCCCTCCATCCGCGAAAATGCTGCAAGGATTTACAGCGAATGCGCGCGGCGTGAAGGCGAGAGCCATCTATTGAAAACGACCCGCCCTCCATCCGTGAAACTGTTGCACGTGTTCTAAATACATACTCGCGGTGCTGAAGCGAGAGCCACATGTTGCAAACAGCCCGCCTTCCATCCGTGAAACTGTTGCTACTTTCAAGTTTCAGGACCATTAATGGTGAGGAGCTCTCAGCCGAAACGCCCGGCCCGACCTACCGACACGTTTGGGGGGCGCGACAGGGAGGAGTTATGTATAAGGAAGATTATAGGGAAGGAGGATGGAGGAGGAGGAGGAGGAGGACCAATGGAAACCCAAGAGTCATCAACGATGTTGGAATCAACCCTTCTTCCAAGCTCCCTCTTCATAGGCCCCTTCCAAAACACTATCTGTGAATCCTGAATCTTTCAAAAACACAATTGTTGGTACGCTGATCATGGGAATCCGTGGAACCCTTGCATTTTTTTGTAACGAAAGTGCGCGGCGCGAAGGCGAGAGCCACATTTTGAAAAGGAACCGCCTTCAATCCGTGAAACTCTTGCGAATTGTTAAAACGAATATGCGCGGCGCTGGGGCCAGAGCCACATGTTGAAAAGGAACCGCACTCAATCCGTGAAACTCTTGCAATTTTCCAAAACGAATGCCCGCGGCGTTCAGGCGGAAGCCACCGTTTGAAAAGGAATTGCATTCAGTCCGTGAAACTCTTGCAAATGTTCAAAACGAACGTGCGCGGCGCTAACGCGAGAGCCACAGTTTGAAAAGGAACCGCTCTCAATCCGTGAAACTCTTGCAAATTTTGAAAACGAATGTGCGCGGCGCTGGGGCGAGAGCCACATTTTGAAAACGGCCCGCCCTCAATCTGTGAAGTTCTTGCAAATTTGAAAACGAATGTGCGCGGCGCTGGGGCGAGAGCCACATTTTGAAAACGGCCCGCCCTCAACCTGTGAAGCTCGTGCAAATTTGAAAACGAAAGTGCGCGGCGCTGGGGCGAGAGCCACATTTTGAAAACAACCCGCCCTCCATCTGTGAAACTGCTGTCACTATTTAAGCTTCAGAATCATAACTGGTGGGGAAGTTTCAGGCGAAACGCCCGGCCCGCCCTAAAAATTGGCCTCGGGGTGCGACAGGGAGGAGTTATCTATAAGGAGAAGGAAATGGAGAAGGAGGAGGAGGAGGAGGGCGCTGGCATGCCACGTGAGCTTCTAAAACTTCCAGGGGTCAGCGGACGGGGAGGAGGAGCAGCCAGAGGACAACGATGACGAAGGCGAGGGAAAATCGCTGCTGAGGTCCGTCACCGTCTCTGGAGACAGCGCGACATGTTGCGACAAGCGGTGACGTGGGTCCAGAGTTCTCTGGGCGTGCCATCATCACACAGAGACCAGATCGTCATACTGCCCGAATTCTGAACGCAGTGTCAACGAACCAACTATAGCACTTGGGACATTCCAGACCCCCAGATCTCTGGGCATCGCGAAAAGAGACCACTGGCATTTCTTTGCGATGTTGGTTCTTTGGGAGTAGTTCTAGAGACCCTTGACTATGAACCAATATCTGCGGCGCCAGAAAGCTTTGTGCCATTTGAGCTCGCGGTTCGATCGTTGTGCCATTTGAGCTCGCGGTTCTATCGTTGCGCCCCTCTCTGCCCCAGCCTAATGTCATTGCTTGATTAATCGACCGACGGACAGACCACCTAGATATGTGGTAGGACGGTAGTCTAGGAGATGTCCTAGTCGTTCTTTGGTTACACCATTGATCGATTACATCTCCTTCGCGCTCTCGCTCCACAAACATATCACTCAACCTCCCAAGCTCTGAACCTCTCAGCTCGTCTCCACATCTCTACCTGTGCGATCGGTATGTGACCGATAGTGAGATCGAAGTGGTCATGTTTCGTATGTGATTCGCATGCCTCCAGATGTACTTCGTGTCACTTGACTAGTCAAGGCGATCCAAGGCTTCAGAACTCGTTGACGCTTGACCTGCACTACCTTTGACTCAAAACATTGTGCGGGCCTGCGGACCTCAAGCCGTGAACGCACAGAGCAAGCCCTGCCAGAGACACCCTGCACACCTCACGGCACCACCCGTCACCACCAGGCCCGTAAGTCCGAGCTTGGCCACAGGGCACCAGTCGCACCTGGAAGCGAGTTGGACGTGGCACCAGACGGCGCCGCACGGGCCTCGCGCCCGAGGGCTGCAGCTTGCGGCACCGCACGGGCAGTGTGCCCAAGAGTTGGGCACGACCCGCCCAGGCAGCACCAGACCGCAGACGCCGGGCAGCGCCGAGGGGAGTTGGGGGCATCCTGCCCGGCGGCGTGGCACGAGCAGCGGTGTCGACACGCGGGAGCGCGGCAATGCAGCAGCACACGGCACCACACGCCACGCGGCACCATGTGGGCAGCGGGTTCAGAGTTGTAGTTGGTCGTAGCCACGAGCGCCAGAAAGTGTCATGGCATGTCGCTGCTCTAGAGGAGAACGCACATCCAGATCTGAATCGGGCCACGGAGGCTCCAGCGTGGCTGCTTTCTACTCTCAGCCCTGCTACGTGTAAGCCAATCCGCTCTGTGCCTACTGGTCGTCCAAGTTCGACCTTTCATTAAATGCTCCCTAGAAGTCAGGTTCTAGTTCTAGCTATACGATTGTATCGGATTATAGCTTCAGGTCTGACCTACCCTTCTGGATCTGGAGCAAACGAATCTCGATCTCTAGTTGCGACGCTCGTTCTACGTCCAGCTCTGGATCCCCGTCGTTTTCTCTGGTGGCAACGGCGACGGGGCTGGACTGCGACCACCCTGCGTAGCTGCAGGCTCAGACTGCGACCCGAAGACGGCAATTGGCACCCCCCCAGGTCACGGAGCGGCAGCGGCGGGGTTCTAGCCGTCGACCGCGAGCGGGCTGGTCGGCCAGAAGGCGGCAGCGACGACTAACCATCGGTCGTTGAAAGTAAGTACTTTTGGATACCCAGATTCCAATCTACTTTAAGCGCCATCCTATTTCAGCAATCGAGTGGCTTCACCGTTTCCGTCCTCTCAAGGGGGGGGCGGACACCCAATCTATTTTCAACGCCTTCCTACTTCATTTGTCTACCTACTTCTTCCGATCTGTGAGTAGCTCCTCAGAGGGGCAGCACCAGTCTACCAAGGAGGGAACCCCTTGCTGTGAAAGTATCGCGGTGGAGCCGCTGTCGATCTGCATTGGCCCACAGGTGAAACGCAGAAGGTCCACCGCTGGAAAACACTTGACCCACTGCTGATTCACACTCGATTCGCAATCAAGGCGCAATTCAGGGGCCGAAGTTTCCGCAGTGATTCAGTCCACACCACTATCGGCCCACGGCTTGTCCTCAAAGACACGCGTTGCTTGGGGAACCCCTCACACAAGCGGAAGACAGTTTGGGGGATTGTAGCACTGCCCCTTCTGAAAGCACCACATACGAATGTCATCATGCTTATTTCTATCGCGCACTCTCGCGTGATAACTTTCCCTTCTCTCGTGAGGCACTGTCAAGCTCCCATACTTTGTGCGCGCTCTTGTGTGCGTCCTTGCCCCTCACTCTGGCTTCATCCCTGGATACCCTCGCTGAAGCCCATGACTTCTATAGGGAGGGTGTTGTCTCCAGGGCCGTGAGGATTCACGCGAGTTCCGACCCCGCGGCCACAAACGAGTCATCCTTTTGGACCGATTTGGCGCTCCTCATGGTGACCCACTACGCGTGTGCCTGCATTCAAGGAGGACGGGGAGGAGATCTCCCGGGGTTTGCACGACGAGGATTTGCATGTAAATTGTTTGTTGTATTTTGCCGATCTTCGCGTCCTGGCATCAGAAGTGTCCGTGCGCTCTGGTTTCGGGCCATCTCAAGTTGCGAACGTGATCCCCGCCACCGTGCCTGGGTTGCGGGTCAGACTTCTCAGAGATGCCTCTTGGGGTCTTCGGAGCGCTCTCGGGGACCTCTTGGGGGCAGTTTTGGGGGCCTCTTGGAGGCCTCTTGGGGGCCTCTTGGGGCCTCTTGAGGGCCTCCTGGGGCCTCCCTCCTGGGGGCCCTTCGGAGCCGAGGGCTCGAAATGTCCGTTTGGATTCCCCATCTGGGCCCCCTCTTGGAGCCGTCTTTGGACTCTTGGGCCGTCTTGGGCGCCTCTTGACCCGTCTTGGGGCCCTCTTGGGCAGTCTTGGGGCTCTCTTGGGGGCCTCTGGGGCCGCCTTGGGGCGATCTCGGGAGCCTCTTGGGCCAGCCTACAGCGTCAGGAAGCCGAAAAGGCGAGAACGCCAAAAACCTTTCACAAAACTTACGGGAAATCAATGATTTGCGCCTGTTGGGGCCTCTTGCGTGGCTTCTCGGGGCATGTTAGATTCTTCCGGGGCCGTCTGGGAGCCATCCTGGGCGTTTTGGACCGATCGTTCCGCGACTCCGTCCCCTCCTAGACCGCCTTGGGGGCCTGTGGGGGCCCTCTTGGCCCGTCTTGGGGCGATCTTGAGCCCGAAAGAGTCCTGCGACAAGATGGCCCCAAGCCCAGGGGAGCCGCGGTAAGCCTTGGGGGATTTGGCAATTCGGGGTCCGGGCCCCTTGAAGACTCCCCAGGAGTGAGGACTGAGGCGTAGAGGACTAGGCAAAGGACTTGAGGACACGCCCACTCCGTGCCCAGCGGCAAGGTGGCGGATAATTCGACGGTTCCGTCGACCAGCGTATTCCAGTTTCCTTACCATATTGGCTCCGATGCCATGTCAATGGAGCCCAGCGGAGTGCCGCGCCTGGAGCCGCATCCAGAGATTGGAATTGATGAGCTGTGTGTGTTACTCGTCCTTCTCCACCCGACCCCTTTCTCTTCCTCCTTCTCCTCCTCCTCCTCCTCCTCCTTCCCCTCCTTCTCCTCCTCCTCCTCCTCCCTCCTCCTCCCCCTCCTCCTCCTCCTTCTCCTCTTCCTTCTCTCCATAGCAATGTCCACTCAAGCTTTCCAGGCGCATCAGGCACAATGCAGATGCCACGTGCGCCGCTCGAGACAATTCCAAGGATGGACCTGAGGATGGACGTGGTGGACGTGGTGGAGACGGTGGAGTCTTCGGTAATGGACCTCCCCAGACCACTCACCATGGTGAAGCCCCCGCCGCCCGACCAGTCGATGGGACTCGGGACGTGGGACGCCCCAGAGCCGGTCGTCGTGGACCCAGAGCCGTTCTCCTTCAAGGAGCTCATGGGGATGCTCGCCGACGCGCACCACAGGCAGGTGCGGGGGCTGGAGGCCGAGGCGGCCAGGGCCCGCGAGCGCCTGGCGAAGTCCGAGCGCAGGCAGACCGTGCTGGAGCGGGAGCTGGAGGAGGCCGCGCGCAGGAGCAGCGTGCCTGGGGCCGTGGAGCCCGTGTGCGGGCGGTCGCAGTCGCGCTCGAGGACGCTGCCCGCGCGCTTCCCGCAGGGGCAGCACGGGGGCCTCGCCGAGGGGGTGCCCCAGGGGAGGGCCCTCACGAAGGACACCACGTCGACGGGGAACGGCAGGAGCGCCTGGGCGAACGAGCTCGCCAAGATCAGCCGGATGGACTCGGTCGTGAGGAGGTTCACCGTGGAAGAGAGCAAGTTCAACGAGCATCGAACGGGAAGGTGGGCATACAAGATAGTGAAGAGTGTCTACTTCGACGCGCTGTCGTATGTTCTGATTATTGCCAACTCTATATTCATTGGCGTCTTCATGGAGCACCAGCTGTCCTGTGCCATCAAGGGCCGCACAAGCAACAAAGCGTTCGATATCGTGGAGGCAGCTTTCGTGGTCTGGTTTAGCGTGGAGCTGCTTTTGAAGATCCTTGCGGAGGATGTCAAGGTGTTCTTAGGCCCCGATTGGCCGTGGAATGCGTTGGATCTCGTCTTGGTGATTTCAGCGGTTGGGCAACTTGCAAGCGAGTCAGGAGCGCCGAATATAAGCTTCGCCCGGAATTTGCGACTCGTCAGGGTGGTGAGTATATTGCGTGTCGCGCGGGTGGTGCGCATATGCCAGAGTCTGCGGGTCATGATATTTGCGATATTGCGATGTTTGGATGCACTGCTCTGGGTCTTTATCGTGCTCGCTTTCTTCATGTACATCTTCGCGATGTCGTTCATGCACGCCGTTACCGTTCAGTTCCAAGACTTTGAGTCCACGTGGCTCGCGCCGTGCCCCGACCAAGAAAGTTGCCAGTCCGACGAGCTCGGGTGCCCTGCCAAGTGTGCTCACCTCACATGGCTCGACTACCACTTGGGCTCTCTCCCCAAGATCATGCTGATGCTGTTCCAGAGCATGACGAACGGCCGTGACTGGGCAGAGGTGTATGATATGCTGCACCAGATCCACGGCAACTATGGCTTCATCTTCGTGGTGTTCATTTATTTCATGTTCTTCTTGGTGCTGAATGTATCCAGTTGCCTGCGACAAGTTCCGCCACCGTGCCAGCCCAGCATTCTGGGTGGCGAAAATTCGAGGGGGCACAGAAGGCCGTCACGTGTGACGTTTCGGGCTTCTTGAAGGCTTTGAGGGCTTGTTGGGGGCCTTGCGGCCTTTGGGGAGCCTCTTGGGGCATCTTGGCAGCGTCTTGGTGGGGCCTCGGACGGAGTCTCTTAGGGGCTATCTGAGGGCGCTATAGGGCCGTCTGGGCGCTATCGAAGTCCGTTTTGTGGGGCTCTCTGGGTCGTCGTGGGGCTTTCTTAGGGACCTTGCCCTTGAGTTGACTTGGGATCATGTGGGTCCGCTCTTGAGCCATCTTGAAACCCTCTAGGGCCGTCTTGGGGCCCTCTTGAGGCCCTCGTGGACCGTCTTCAGGCTATCTTTATGACTTCCTTGGCCGTCATGAGCTGACGACAGCCCGAAAACATGAGAATGCGAAAACCCAGCAACAAACTAAGAACAATCAATGATGTTGGCCTCTTCGGGCGCTCCTGGAGGTTCGCTTGGAGCCCTCTTGGGCCGTCTTGGGGGCTCCCTGGGGCGTCTTGAGGCCATATTGGGGCCATCTTGGGCCGGGCCGTCATGGAGGCATATGTGGCAATGTTGGCGGCATTGATGGCTTGCCTGGGCAGTATTGGAAGCCATCTTGGACGCCTTGGAGGAGAGGGCCAGGAGCCGTCTGGCAGCTCAGGGTGTCGGGACGGGGGGGGGGGGGGGGCGAGGCACGTAGGCCTGTGCGGCAGGGAGGAGGGAAGGCTTTTAGAAGATCACAGAAGCCCTACCATTAAGTCGGGCCTGTCCCTCTACAGGAGGAATATTCAAAACTAGTCCAGAAATAGTCTGGGGCCTTTTTTATATGTTTGAACTTGGTCTGCTATATTTGTTTGACTTGTTTATTGTTCGCCCAAAGTCCGCCTGCAGGAGGACACGCCCGACCCAGCCCTACCAGAGAGCACTGGGCGTCCTGCCACGCCTCCACGTGCCAGGGGGGGCGCGGTGGCGGAGTGGTCGGCACAGTTGTCGACGTCACGTCGGGCGTGTCGAAGCGCGATCGCGATCCAGGGGCGCTGCCGCGCAAATCCGCCACATCGCTCGCGCTGAGCTCCCAGGAGAGGGGGGGTGCGGTCGGACTCCCGGGGGGCGCATGCCGCAGAACGCCACAGTCGAGTCTCTGAGACTGGCACTGGACGCTGTCAAACGTGTTGGCTAGCGCGGACCCCAAACAGTGATGTCGTATAGTCCATGTGGTTCAGTCCGGGTGGCGCAACCCGCACGGTGCCGTACACCTGTGGTGCAGAGCGACGCAGCACACAGCACAACGCAAAGCAGAGCAACACACAGCGAAGCAACGCAAAGCAGTGCAGACCAGCACGAAGCAGTGCGAGGCCGTGCAAAGGCATGCCGCGCAAGGCTCAGCGACGCAGAGCAGTGCGAAGCAGCGCCAAGCGGGTGGAGACGAGGCGGCGGGCGGCGACGGAGCCGCCGTCGCGGCGGCCAGCGCGGCCCGCAGGCACAGCTCCTCCGAGGACAAGCGGGAGCCCCTGAGGGCAGGCGCTGCTTGGGGAACGACGGGGCGACGGTCTACGCAGGCCTGCTCCTTCCTCTTCCCGTCGGCGCTGGGCGCCACGATGGATTCGGGAACCTGCGGAGGGGAAGAGGAGGAGGAGGAGGGAAGGAGGAGGAGGAGGAGGAGGAGGAGGAGGAGGAGGAGGAGGAGGAGGAGGAGGAGGAGAGAGAGAGAGAGAGAGAGCGCGTCGCGGTCAAGACAAGACCACATGCCGCCGCCCGCCCTGCCCGCGCCACGAGGGCTCAGCAGTACTGGAGCGGCGGCCCTGGCCGGCACGGGGCTGCAACGCCCCGCGGGGTCACGGGGCCAACGTGCGGGGTCACGCCAGCCCCGTCGGGCTCCCGAGGGGGGGTCAACGCAGCACGCCCGCCAGCACGGGTGTGTGTGTGTGATGGCCGATGTTGGCAACGCTGCAGAACGGGCGCGGCCACATGTCTTGGCATCGCTCGGACGTGTGTGTTTTTTCTCGGCGAGGACCATCGTGGAGCATCCTGAATCATCGAGCAAAAAAAAGCGCACGCAACCGAAAGATGCACGTGGAATGGACGCCCGAGCGATGGCGAGATGTTGGGTTCGACCCGTTGCCTGCGCTTTCCAAGGAGCGAGCGGAAGGAAAAGGAAGGGCCCAGTAGACACCAACCGCTGCAAGCGCGGTGGCGGACAGTCGGGTCAAGAGCGAGATGACACGGCTAAAGGAGTACACGAACAGCATCAAGGAGTTCTTCATGAGCGCTGACACGGATGGATCAGGCCAGCTCTCATTCGAAGAGTTCTCCAGGCATTTGCAGGACCCGAAGATCAAGGCGTACTTCAACACGTTGGAACTGGACACCAGGCAGGCGGACGTGCTGTTCACCCTGCTCGACCACAACGAGAGCGGCGAGGTGGGCATCGACGAGTTCCTCGACGGATGCCTCCGCCTGAAGGGCGGGGCCCGGAACCTGGACATGAACCTGGTGATCTACCAGATGGAGCACCTCCTGAAGGAGAGCAAGAACCTGCTCAAGCGCATCGGCACCGAGAGCAGGCAGCTGCCCTGGAGGGGCTAGGCGGCCTAAGGCAACACGCGGGTCGCCGCCGGGGCGAGGGCGGCAGAGGTGAGCCTCGCTCCTCCTCCCCTCTCGCCATTGGTCGCTCCTCCTCCTCCTCCTCCTCCTCCTCCTCCTCCTCCTCCTCCTCCTCCTCCTCCTCCTCCTCCTCCTCCTCCTCCTCCTCCTCCTCCTCCTCCTCCTCCTCCTCCCCCCGGAGGGCGCGGAGAGGAGCGCGCGTCGCGGCGCGAGCCAGAGGGCTGCCCTGCCCCAGGGCGGCGGCGCGAGGGCGCGAAGGTGGTCGCGCATCGCGGGGCGCGGGGCACGAACATTGGGCGACCTCGCTCTCTCTCTCTCTCTCTCGTTCTTTCTCTCTCTCTCTCTCTCTCTCTCTCCCTCTCTCTCCCTCTCTCCCCCCCTTTTTCTCGAGACATCTGGCGGCTCCAAGAGCACGAGACGGCCAGCTCGTGGCTACTCGCAGAGTCCGGAAGTCGGCTTCGGGCCTCGGAATTGTCAAAAAGCTGTTCTGCGTGACACACTTGCCCCAGAGAGCTTGTCGAAGGGTCCTGGGCGGGAGGGTGGGCAAAATCTGGCCGCCAGATGTTTGGGTCGCTCCCCTACCCTTGCCGACGTTATCCCGCTGCCCTCCCCTGCGTCCCTCCTGGGCTCAGGAGTGAGCCGACGTTTCACTTCATCATGCAATATACAGGTATCAAGAATCCTTCTGCGCTAGTTCAATGCAACGGGAAGGTAATGCCGCGGCGCCTCGTTTGCGCCAGCCGCTTCCGCCTCGAAGTGACTTCCCGCTTGTTTTTCCTCCTCCTGCCGAACTCCGCAGATTCGCAGCAGCCCCGGCTGTTGCTGCGACAGCGCGGGAGACTCTTGCGGGAGGCCGTGACAAGCACGAGCCCGCTGGCCGCGGACAACCCGTGTACAGGTGGCGCGTGCGCCTGACAAGATCCAGCCCGGGGCGACCCCCTGCACGATTAGGCTCGGGGCGGCTCCCTCCAAACCGCAACTGGCTCCATCTCCTTGGAGGAGAGAATATGAAAAAGCAGAGGGACGGATGAGGAAGGGGGAGAGGGCAGGAAGGCAGAGGGCGGGTGAGCAGGACGGCGACGACGAGAAAGGAGGAGGCGGAGAAGTTGACAAAGCCCGCCAGTGTCTCGGGAATCGGCGTGGCACGATGCTGCCGTCGCCGTGTCGGTCCAGACTGGAGCTGCGTGTGTGCTGCGGTGGCCAGGCACGCATGCCTGGCTCGAGATGGTCCCCGTTGCACTTGTGATCTAGGACAAGCGTTACCAAACGAATGACACGTCGTCACCCCCGCCCAGCCGGACGTAGCATCTGGTGTTCATGTTCGCGCCTCGAGGCCCTTCGTTCACCTCCTCAACCCGGTGGCGACCACCATCTTGTTCTGCGACAGCATCAACGAGTACAGGCGCGCCGTGCCCCCCTGATCGGGAGAGGGAAGTCGGGCGGGCCCCGGACCGAGATAGATCGTCCCGGAGCCTTCGGGGGCGCTCCGAAGCGGCCGCGGCGCCCAACACATCTTGCAGAGCCGCCGGCTCTCAGAGATCCCCGATGTGATCCATGTCGGATGTTTGTCTCGGCCCGGGGCTCGTCTTCGGAAGGCGCCCACCACCGCTTTGCGCACGCAGGGCCGATGCCCGGTGGAACCACCGCCTCGCCCGGCCAGGCCTGCCCATCCCGCGGGGACCCTGGCCCGGGACGGGCTCGTGCAGCGCCGGGGGGGGGGGCGGGCACATCTTGTCCTCCCCGTTCCTTGCTGCTTCTCCTCCACACCCGCCGGCCGTCTGTTCAGCTTCGAGCCCTGGATGCTGGAACGTCTCAAAGCCCGATCCAATCGGCCCCAGACAAGCTCAGACGTCCCCACGAGGCCTCTCTCCCCTCCTCCGCATCCTCCTCCTCATCATCATCGCGTTCTGCATCATCATCATCATCATCATCATCATCATCATCATCATCATCATCATCATCATCATCATCATCATCATCATCATCATCATCATCATCATCATCATCATCATCGTTTTCTGCATCCTGTCCTCATCGTTCCTTGCCTCTTCTCCTCCACACCCACCTTATCGTCGTCGTCGTCGTCCTCGCAACGACGGCGAGGCGAGGCGAGGCGAGTGACCTTGCGCCGGAGTGACCTCCGGCGCGCGCCCGCCGGGGTCCCCCGATCGACGAGCGCGAGGCGATGGCAGCGTCTTGCGCGCGCGGGTCTGCCCCCCCCCCCCACCCCGCGGCTCCCCGCAGGCCGCGCACCAAGGGTCCCTCCCTGCCTAGCGTCACTCCTCGCGCGTGGCCGAGCGAGGTGGGCCCAGGCAGGGGCCCAGTCGGGCGGTTACGGTGGCTGCGCGCTGGCCGTTCTTCGCGCGCGCGCGTGCCCGCCATGCAGTGCAGCACCGTGCGCGAGCGCCCGTGCTTCCACGCAGAGCTCAGAGGCTCCGCGTTGGACGAGGAGGGAAGCAGCCGTAGCTGGAGCAACGACTCGTGGAGCTGCCCCGAGCACGAAGCAACTGAGGCTAGAGCAGTTCTGGGGCACTGGCGGGCCAGTTGGCGGAAGAGAGCCCGCAGAGCTTCCTGGAGCTCGCAGAAGCTAGAGCTTCAATCATGATTGAGCACCCGCACGGTTGCGCCTTCTGCGGTTGGCCCCCACAACGTGGCTGCGGTTTGGGGGCAGCGTGGGGGCCGTCTCGGGCCATCTTCGGGGCAGCCCGGGACCTCTCAGGCCACCTCTGGGACGCGTTGGGCAACAGCGGGGGCGATCTTAATGATGGGTTCCCAAACGAGTCCGACATGCGCGATCAGATGGCCATCTCACGAGGAATTGTTTGTTTTGTGTCGAGATGGCAGACACCGTCGGACGTTATGTTCGTTTGGTCGCATGATAGGGTTACCCAGGTAGCTGTCTTTGCGGCCATATGAGGGGTCCCGCAAAGATGTCCGTAATTGTGGTCGCATGATTGGGCCCCGGAAGACTACTTTATTTATAGTCGGTGTTGGGGTCCCGTAAGTGATGGCCCCCCCGCTAGGATTTCTCCCTGAGTGGTCAGACGACAAGGACCTGGCACCCCTACCTGCGGTCAGGCGATAGCGCCCCTATTGCATGTCCCCCCCTAAGATGCTTTAGCAGAAGGGGCTCTTACCTGGCCACAAGGAGTGCGTGTTCCGATACTTCTCCCGGCTTTTGGTGATAATCTTGCGGTCATATGTGGGGCCGACGTTCGGTTTATTTGTTGCACCATTTACGTTTGGATGATGAGGGCCCGGAAGGTGTCAAAATATGTTCCCCATGTGCGTTTGGATGATGAGAACCCATAACGTGTCCTGACCTTGGTTGCGTCGCTTCACGCGTTGGGGGCTGAGGTGGTTGCCCAGATGGTCCTGGCTATAGGGGCATAGCCGTGGTTGCCCTGTTAGCCTTCTTGAGGTGTCCGTGGCCGACGCGCAGACCTTGCGTTTGTCCCTCATACCATCCATTTATTGTGGCCAGTTCACGCATCCTACGCTTCTGACACCGCTGGTGCTCCCCCATCGCCTTCTCCCCGGCCCCCATCCAGCGTAGCCGCCTGGCTCGGCCCGCACCCGCAATCGCTGCGCCAGCCTGCTTGCCTGCATGCACTCCTGGCCCCTCCGCGGCCCGCAGCTGCACCCATGCCCCCGCGTAATAAACCGCGGCCACGCCGGCAGACGCCGCTGGGCGCAGCAACCGCGGCCGCGGCCGCAGTGGCGCAAGCCGCGCGCGGGTGCGCAGGGGCTGCGGCGCCTGCGGCGGTCACGGCTGTGGGTACTGCGGGGCTCAGCTCCGCGGAGCTGGAGGTGAGCGCAGGGGGGTGCCACTACATGCACCCCACGGCGTGCGCCGAGCCGAGCGCGCGGAGCTTTCTGGCCGAGTGGGCCGAGAAGCCCAAGTGCTGGCTGTGCGACAACGCCGGCATCGTGCGGAGCTCAAGCGCCCTCATCACGGAGATGTTGCATCACGAGGCGTCCGCCGACACCAACCTCCTCTCCGCAGGGCGGAGATCGAGCGCATGCCTCCCCGCGCACCTCCTGGCTCTCTTCGCCTCCACCAGGAGCGGCGCCGTCCAGACATGGCGCTTCTACGAGTTCGGGCTGGGGATCGTTGAGACCTGCCAGTTCGACGAGAGCACCTTCTGGGCCCTGTTCGGGGTCACGCCCTCGCAGATAGCCTACGTGTTCTACCTGATCGGGCTGGCCTTCGACCTGCCCGCGCGCAGGATGGCCCTGCAGGCCCCCGAGGGCGCACAGACCGGGCTGCCTGCCGTGCCCGCGTGGGACGCCCCGCTTGTGATAGACGTGGGCATGGGGCTCGGTGCCGACACGAGGTACTACCTGTCCCAGGGATTCCGGGTGGTGGCGATTGAGGCCAATCCGCTCTCGGTCTCGGCCGCTCTGACGGTGGACTGGGTGAAGCCGTTCCTCCACTCCGGCCAGCTGACCCTCCTCAACGCCGCGGTCGCGGGGCCTGGCGAGGGAGGTGGCACCACGACGCTATTCACCGTGCCGCAGCGCCCAGAGCAGTCGCACGGGAACGCCTGGGTGGCAGAGGCGGCGGGGAACAGGCCCATCTCGGTGCGCGCGGTGGAGTGTGGGGATCTGCTCCGAGTGTTCGGCCGCCCGGAGTACCTGAAGGTCGACATCGAGTCGAGCACGGAGCTTTGCCTGGCGTCGTTGCACAGGGAGTTTGCTGCGGGGGGCGCCTCGGCCCGCAGCAGTGGCGCGCTGCTGCCCAGGGAGCTGTCCCTGGAGGTGGAGGCCGCGAGCCGGGCCCCAGTATTCTTGCAGCAGCTGCGCGAGCTGGGCTACTCCAGCTACAAGATGTGCCGGCAGTACGTCTACTCACCCGCCCCGTGCGAGCAGGGTGCCTACTCCAGCAAGGTGAAGGGCTGCGGCGCAGGCCCCTTCGGCGACGCGGCGGTGGACTACCTGGCCGGCCCGCGCTGGCGCCAGCTGGACGAGCTGGAGAGCGATACCGGCTGGGCGCGCGAGTTCGAAGGCGGCCTCGATTGGTTCGACCTCCACGCGCGCTTGCCGGATTAGATCAGTTGTATTAGCTTCCCCATCCTGTTGTTGCCGCTGGTTTTACTGGCACCGTTGCTGGTGTTGATTATCGGAGACGCCTACGGCGAAACACCGCTGGCCCCTGCCCTTGTCCCTTGTGGAATCACAGGGCAACTGTGGCCGATTGGAGTAAAATGGCCCCGACTGTGGTTGAATTCTGGGTGGCCCGTATGTTGCCGAGGGAATTCAGGGGTCAAGCTGGATGCAGAAATCATCATCATCACCACCATCATCATCATCATCATCAGCAGCATCAGCATCAGCATCAGTATCATCATCATCATCCTCATCATCATTATCACATCATCATCAGCAGCATCATCAGCAGCATCTTCATCATCGGCATTGGCATCATCATCATCCTCATCATCAGCTTTATCAGCATTATCATAATCCTCATCATCATCAGCATTCTCAGCCTCATAATCATCATCATCATCATCATCATCATCATCATCATCATCATCATCATCATCATCATCATCATCATCATCATCATCATCATCACAAACAAAAGCACCATCGACATCCTCATCCTCATCCTCGTCCTCGTCATCCTCACCATTCTCATCGGCATCATCCTCAGCCTCATTACACATCGGTGTACAACTTCTCGCTGCACCATGGCTGCATCACGGCACTCCCAAGTGTTCTCGAGACGGCCGAGGGGGATATCTTGATGAGCCTGCTTAGAAATGTTCTGAGCCTCCCTTGAAGACACAGGAGACTTCTCAGAAGGCGCGAGGGCTTCCGAGAAGTCCCTCGCCGCCTTTGAGAAGGCCTCCTCCTTCTCGCTTCCCCCCCTTGCTTTAGCCGAAGACCCCCCCCAACAAAAAAAAACAAAAAAGAAGTCCAGGCCGCGCACAGCGGGCGTTCCCGCGCGTGCGGTGCCCCACGGCGAGGCGCCGGCCCCGAAAAGACGCGGAAGGCGCGTCCAGCG